CCAGGGATGGCGAGGTCTAATTTGGGTCCGCCCGTGGCGTCATTGTGCTGGGCCCCCCAGCAAGCCTCGAAAGTGGCGACGGTTTCACAGATCGCAGCCCCCAGGGATGGCGAGGTGCAATTTGGGTCCGCCCGTGGCGTCACTGGGCTGGGCACCCCAGCAGGCCTCGAAAGTGGCGACAGTTTCACAGATCGCAGCCCCCCAGGGATGGCGAGGTGCAATTTAGGTCCGCCCGTGGCGTCACTGTGCTGGGCCCCCCAGCAGGCCTCGAAAGTGGCGACATTTTCACAGATCGCAGCCCCCCAGGGATGGCGAGGTCTAATTTGGGTCCGCCCGTGGCGTCACCGCCCGTGGCGTCACTGTGCTGGGCCCCCCAGCAGGCCTCGAAAGTGGCGACATTTTCACAGATCGCAGCCCCCCAGGGATGGCGAGGTCTAATTTGGGTCCGCCCGTGGCGTCACTGTGCTGGGCCCCCCAGCAAGCTTCGAAAGTGGCGACGGTTTCACAGATCGCAACCCCCCGCAAGCAAGACAGGAGGAGGCAAGAGGGAGACGGGACGGGAAGGAGGAAGTGGAGACCACACTGCCCTATTCAAAACGAATACCCAACCAAGGAGGGTTGGGAAATTACCCTGCGACGTACCCAACCCGAGTGCATCAAATGGCAAGAGGAGTATGCCAACATTCGCAGGAACAACGACAGTGTAGACGCGGCGATTTGCTGTGCAAGCTACATGGGATGCGCATGCGTTGCACGATTCACAGGACGACGATCGAAAGAACGAGGATTGAGGCCCCAGGATCGAAGAAGAACGGGTACGGGAACGAGGGGTAGGAGAGGGATGGAATGGAGGGCGGGGGGGGCGAAAGGCCATCGCGGAAGCAGCAGCATGCATGGAGAAGGTGAGGCGGGGAATAGGACGACGATGAAAGTGGCGGGAGGAGACAGAAGACTGCCGCGTTTTTCAAGTGCGAGCTAAACCCGCAGCGCTGCCTGCGCCATGTCGTCGCAGAGTTCCACATGATAAAACTTGTTTAGAGTGCAAGGAGCGAGCGAAGCGTAGCTCGCCCGCTAGCTTCTCTGCCCCCTTCCCGCACATTTCAGCGCGGGAGCTGAACGCTCGCAGGCGCGCCGCCAGGTCTGCGGGCGGCCCGCGGGAAAGAAACTCAAGGCCGGGGTCGCGTATCATCAATCGGTTGTCCATCGTCCAAAGTTGCACTGGCGACGTACTGGTTGAACGCGGAGCGAGCAGCATCACGCGCGTGCCTGAACGCCACGCAGGTACAATGCACACGCGATTGGGACTTCAGGTCGATCACGCGCGTCTCCACCAGGCGACTTCAGGTCGATCACGCGACAGTTTCACAGATCGCAGCCCCCCAGGGATGGCGAGGTCTAATCTGTATCCCCGTAGGGCGTCACTCCGCTGGGCCCCCCACGCAGCCTTCGAAAGTGGCGACAGTTTCACAGATCGCAGCCCCCCAGGGATGGCGAGGTCTAATCTGAATCCCCGTAGGGCGTCACTCCGCTGGGCCCCCCAGCAGCCTCGAAAGTGGCGACAGTTTCACAGATCGCAGCCCCCCAGGGATGGCGAGGTCTAATTTGAGTCCGCCGTGGGTCACTGTGCTGGGCCCCCCAGCAGCCCTCGAAAGTGGCGACAGTTTCACAGATCGCAGCCCCCCAGGGATGGCGAGGTCTAATCTGATCCCCGTAGGGCGTCACTCCGCTGGGCCCCCCAGCAGCCCTCGAAAGTGGCGACAGTTTCACAGATCGCAGCCCCCCAGGGATGGCGAGGTCTAATCTGAGTCCCCGTAGGGCGTCACTCCGCTGGGCCCCCCAGCAGCCCTCGAAAGTGGCGACAGTTTCACAGATCGCAGCCCCCCAGGGATGGCGAGGTCTAATCTGAATCCCCGTAGGGCGTCACTCCGCTGGGCCCCCCAGCAGCCTCGAAAGTGGCGACAGTTTCACAGATCGCAGCCCCCCAGGGATGGCGAGGTCTAATCTGAATCCCCGTAGGGCGTCACTCCGCTGGGCCCCCCAGCAGGCCTCGAAAGTGGCGATCGTTTCGCAGATCGCAGCCCCCCCGGGATGGCGAGGTCTAATCTGAATCCCCGTAGGGCGTCACTCCGCTGGCCACCCCAGCAGCCCTCGAAAGTGGCGATAGTTTCGCAGATCGCAGCCCCCCAGAGATGGCGAGGTCTAATCTAAGTCCCCGTGGGGCGTCACTCCGCTGGCCACCCCAGCAGCCTTCGAAAGTGGCAACAGTTCCACAGATCGCAGCCCCCCAAGGATGGCGAGGTCAAATCTGAGTCCCCGTAGGGCGTCACTCCGCTGGCCACCCCAGCAGCCCTCGAAAGTGGCGACAGTTTCACAAATCGCAGCCCCCCAAAGATGGCGAGGTCTAATCTGAGTCCCCGTCGGGCGTCACTCCGCTGGCCACCCCAGCAGCCCTCGAAAGCGGCGACAGTTTCGCAGATCGCAGCCCCAGGGATGGCGAGGTCTAATCTGAGTCCCCGTGGGGCGTCACTCCGCTGGCCACCCCAGCAGTCCTCGAACGTGGCAACAGTTTCACAGATCGCAGCCCCCCAGGGATGGCGAGGTCTAATCTGAATCCCCGTGGGGCGTCACTCCGCTGGCCCCCCCAGCAGCCCTCGAAAGTGGCGACAGTTTCACAGGTCGCAGCCACCCAGGGATGGCGACCGCAGGCGGGAGGAGGCGGGAGGAGGAGGCGGGAAGGAAGGTGGAGACCGCAGTGCTCTATTCAAAACGAGTACCCAACGCAGGAGGGTTGGGAAAATACCATCCCCCCGAAAGTTGCACGAAATGTAATTCGGAAGACGCCAGCCCGTCGGGTTTGGCAGTGTTCGTGTAAGACGGCGGCCAGCTGGGGGAGGGGGAGGCGGAGGACGGGGGAGGCGGAGGGGGAGGAGGATGAGGAGGGGGAGGAGGAGGAGGAGGAGGAGGAGGAGGAGGAGGAGGAGGAGGAGGAGGAGGACGGACCCAGATAGAAGAGCGCGCCGAGTTCGGGTGACGGTCGTTGTGGGGCGGTGGGAAAAGAATTGGAGGAGGAGGAGGAGGAGGAGGAGGAGGAGGAGGAGGAACAGGAGAGGGAGGAGGAGGAGGAGGAGGAGGGGGAAACGGAGGAGGAGGACCACGAGGAGGAGGAAGAGGATGATGATGATGATGAGGAGGAGGAGGAGGAAGGAAAAATTGAGGAGGAGGAGGAGAAAACCGAGGAGGAGGAGGAGGAACGGAACGGAAGGACCCGCGGGGGAGTACGATGATGATGATGATGATTTTTGTTCGACGTTAGGGCTAAGAGTAGATGGCTTGATTCATCATTTGAGCTAAAACTTTCAGGCCCGTCGCAGAGAGTCAAAACTCTCGGTTGACCCCGCATGGGGCGACACTCTATGGGTGCTTCAGAGGGGAGCGGCATGCCATCGAGTGGGGATTACAGCTGCATAACCTCAGCAGCTTCTTCCTCTGCGGCGAAATCTGCCTCATCGAGGTGCTCAAGAACGAAACTATGTGGCTGTGTGTCAGGCGCTGGTCTGGCTACAGCTGGGGCAGGCGGCGAGTCAGGCGGTGGCCTAATATACTCAGGTGATGAAGAGGACGATGGTCGGGACGATCTTCGTGCCGGTATCGTGCCTGGCAGGACTCCACCTCGCAAGAAATTTATTCGTGGTCGAGCGTCTCCAACCAGTGCCCGACCTCGTCCTCGAGCCAGCCCGCTGGCGCTACTCCGTGATGGTGAGTGACCACGCCCTCCGAACGGAATGCTTTCATGAGAAGTTTCCTACCACCCCATTCGGGAGCTCCAATGATAAGTTTCATTTTCTCCGTGTCGAAGCAGTTCTCGAGTCGAATGAAGCTGATCTCCTCGGCCAAATCTTCCTTGGATATGTCTGGTTCCATACTGCCGTCGGGCGGGTTGGTCTTCAGCAAGTACTCCTCGATCTCGGTGCGGAGCGCTCCCCCGATGTCGCACTGCAGTACTCCTTCCAAGGCCGCGAGGCCCATGCTGGGCGCGGGGGAGCCGATCTCCTTCATCTTCTTCTTGTCCTCCGCTGAGCCCTGACGTAGCAGGTCCAGGTGCTGCTTGTAGCCCTCCAACTCGTTGCTCACCGCGTCGATCACCTTGTGAGTCTTCGGGCAAGTGTAGGTGCCCGGGGCCAGGGAGCTGTTCAGCCTCGTGCGGTGCGCCGTTTGAAGCACCAACTTCAGAATCGACTTCAGTAATGATAGTAATTGCTTGTCCTTGCTGGTCCACTTCTTCTCCGCGTGGTCGCCGCGCCTCGTCCTCCGTCCGCCACGGCGCGCTTGCTTGCGCCGTGGCGCTGCCTCGGCCCCTCCCCCGTCCATGGCCTGGTCTCCCTCCGCGTCCTGGTCGCGCCGAGGTGGGGGCGGGCCCGCCAGCTTTGGCTTTGCCATCGGTGGTTGTCCTGCTTTGGATCCGCTGCCAGATGCCTCTGAGGCCCTCGAGGAGGCCAGGGGGAGGCGCCACTGAGCTCGCGCTGGTGACTTCTCCTTGGCTGCCGCTTCCCCCGACATCTTGCCGTGGCGGAGGCCGTGGAACGGTAGGTGTCGCTGTCAAGTAAACTGACCTAGCTATCGGTGTCGCTGGAGCACCTGTCGCCGAAGGTCGTCGCGAATGAGCTCTCACTCGTGGCCGACGGTCGGGAGCAGGAGCAGCCTGGTAAGCACCTTGACGTAGTAAAAGATCTGTGGCTCGTCGAAGCTGCCGTCGAGCAACCGAAGTATCGCGCGCAGTACGGGGCGGCCGTCTAGCGGGATGTGCAGGCGGCGGTGGTGGGGCACCTCCTGATGAGGCGACCTGAGGCCCTCTGGCCTCACGTCTGTACACAACCTTGAGCCGTGATCCAGATGGCGACACAGGAAGGTGGGTACACACATGGGCGCGTAGCGCTTCAGGGTCCATTTAGTCATGATGACATGCTGGATCAAGATCGTAGTCACATAAGGGACACGTCGTAGTCGTAGCTGCCGTCCATGTATACTCATGATGTGTGAGGTCGTGTATACATCGTTCAGCAATCCATGATCTGCGAATATGGCGTACAGCATGTTCATGATTGGGAAATGTGGTATGACATGCGATACATTTATTATCCAATTGCAGTAATGTGAGTATAGATGGATGTCCGTGGCCGTCCGCTTTCGATGTCGTTTGATGTGCTACCAACCGTTTAATAGTCTCGAACCTTTCCGAGCATCCAAAAATAGTACATTTGAATGGTCGCTCGTTCTCGGTTTCGCCGTCGGTCTCGGCGTGTTCAGCGGACGGCAGGGCCTCGGAGAGTCTACTGGTACCTGGGGGGGTCCATCTCGTGGTCCAGAAGGTCGCTCGCAGCGCTCGGGTGTCGCAATATCGGAACGCGTCGCGGACCTCCTCATCCTCCCAAAGGGCTTTTATCACCGGTGGCCGCCATAGCTCCCCAAACGTTTGTCCGATGGGATGTTCGGCCAGGCACTGCAAGTCGTCGGCAAGCTGTAATGCCCACGGGTGCGTCGAGCTGGCGGTGGCGATCTCACCCTGCGTCGTGAGGGCATGGCCAGCACACGGTCGATCGTTCGAGTCTTTCTCGAAACTGCACCTGCCGAAGAAAACTGCCAGAAAGTGGCTGTGATGCGTATGATCTGCAACTAAGCTTTGCCACCAACTGAGCCTGCGCACGAGCAACTCGATGGCCGTCGGAGCGACTTGCCATTCTCGAAAAAGCTGAAGTGCGGTGAGGGAACGATGGGCATCATGTTCATCAATCTGATGTGCTCCTCCCCTCATCATGGCTCGAAGTTTACGTGCGAGTGATTTATCTAGGCGGTGAGTTTCTCGCGGGCGTAGTACGTAGCTTTCCAGGCCTGACCATATACGGCCAGCCACATTTGAGAGAAATGATAGTCTCTTACTTTTTCCATGGGCCCCCAGAGAACCAGTAGCCCCCAAGACGTGTCCATCCCACACTGGCCGAATGAATACGTTCACCAAGTTCTCGAATAGTATTGTTTGTGACGCTGACGTAGCCTCCTAAGTGTATGAGATCCTGTTGGGCCCTCCCCAAGACTCGGCGTTCGGCCTCCTTAGTGGCAGCTCGGGTTCCCAAAGAGACCAACGTGTCCTGCTTTTCTACGTTCTGGGCGTAGCCTCCGAGGGATAGGGTCTGGGTGAGGGTATTGTTATCGATCATGTCGAGCAATATTGCCTGATGAGCCGTCCCGTCAGGGATGAGGAGTATCTTAAACAAGTCATCGATGAAGGCGCCTAGATGACCCTTGTGGGTCGTTGACGTGAAAGGGCACGCAACACCGAACGGGCCCCCCTGAACTTCGGCCATCTGCGCTTCCCACTGCGATACCAGGGGGTAGAAAGATCCCATGAATAATTCTGGCTCATTTGAGTCCCCCATCCTCCCTCCAGTTCCTGGCCGAAGAGCAAGGTTGGCGTCCGAGGCCTGGAGGTAAACTACGGCCTGCTCGCGGTGCTGAGAAAGGAGAGGATGAAAGTGTTCGTCGTCACATCTCAACGTGCGTGCTGCAATCAGCCGCTCATGGGAGCCCGTGGCGAAGGCATTGCGCATGTCGTAAGACTTGGCCAAGAACGAAGGGCCCGAGCACCTCAACTTCCAGATAATGAGCTTGACCAGTACCATAAGTGCCTCTCGCCTCCGAGCAAAAATGCCTCCATAGGCCCACGGAGGGGGATCATATTGACTGCCGTACTTCAAAATGCCGATACGAAGATATAATCGCCAGAAACGGTCGAAACAGTTGAGTAGCCGAACACAATTCTGAATGTCAAACGTGGGTCGTCCTGTAGGGAACTTGCCTTTCTTGCCGATTGCGATGGCATGGCTCGTAACGGCCTGGGCTGGTAACTGCCGGGCACGATGTACATGAGCGATCAGCTGCACGAAAGCCTGCACGATCTCATAGCATGAGTGCTGATCAAATTTTAGCCGTCGCCGTCGGAAAGGCTTCTCGGAGGTCGCCAAGAGATGCGCTGAAGGGTAGTCCTGGGTCTGAAATCCAATGCCTGCTCGCTGTTGTCCAGGACGTGTCAAGTACATGGGGTTGAGCAGCATAATTGTGATCTCGATCGGCCATGCCCAGGGCGGATTGCACCGGCGGCGCTTCTCGCGCCAGAGCCTTTTTTGAATGTGTTGAAGTGCCTCAAGCGCTGCCTCCTGCTCCTCCACGGTTGGGACGCCCACGTCATTTCCTACTGGTTGAACGTCATCTGTCCGCGAAAGTAATCTCGTGACAGCTGTGGGGTCGTCAATGCACATGCTGGGGTGCGCCATGCTGGCCTGGATGCCGCCGTCGGCGGCGGCAACTTTCAAAGCCTCAAAATATTCAGCACCACTGGGGCGTGTAGCAGGCAAGGAAAGATATGATCGTCGGCGTGCTCCAGTTCGGCGTCCAGCTCGAAGATAAGTAAGATGTGAAACTCGTGATAGATCCCTTGCGGCCCAAGCTTCGCGAATGTCCTGATCCAAACTAACTTTCCACCAGTGGTTCATTTCCCGTTGATGCGCTTTGAGTTGCTTTTGGATGTTCCGAAGCTCGCTGGATTCGAAGTCGTCGCCTTCTGCGCGTGCTCGTCCACGCTGTCGCAAGAGCTGGAGTCGTTGCTGGCGGGCATCCTTCCACCATTCGGGCTTATTGTTCGTCGTGCTGTACAGCTTGGACGCCTGAGTGGTGATGATGTGATGAAGAATGGCATTGTGTCTGGTAGGGTATTGGTCCATGCGCGCTGCCCGTAGGGTTTCCTTGTACGTGTCCAAGTCCTTCGCGACAGCATCGATAAGGTCTTCCCTATATGTGCCTTTCTGCAGTCCCTGAGCGAGTAGTCCCCAATCCCATCGATTGTTGGCCTGCAAAGGGTCGACCTGGGTGACGGGAATACGGAGATGTAATGCCATTGGCACATGATCAGGGACGTGGATGAGCGCACGTACTCGGCGATGGATTCTCCATTCAAGCTTAATAGTCTTGACAATCTCCAGTAAGTTAGAGTATCCCAGAAAGTAATCGATCCTGGAGCTGCTTTTTTTGGGTCCGTGGTACGTGTAGCCGACATCGCGATAAGTGTTGAGCGCTTTCAGTTCATGTTGCCGAAGGGCCGAATGTACTTCTTTGCCGAATAATGTCTCCGTACTTGCTTGATAGGGGCCAATGGATTCGTCAGTGTTCTTTTTGCTGCCAGTCTTTCCCAAGCCCTGATTTAGGTCCGCGAACACTATCGGTATCACTCGATCGGGCACCTCCGTCGTAACTTGAATGAGCCATTTCAATAGTTTGCGGCATCCCACTAGCCATCTCGGTACATGAGCTGCCTGTCCAGGTCGTGGGGGGAAGTACGCTACAATGAATCGTATCCTGATTGCTCCACGATGCACTTCCACCACGCCTCCTCGGCCTTGTAGGTCCGTACTCGGATGTAGAATGCGAACAATATCTTGCGTTCGAAAATGCTTCTTACTGATAGCGATGCTGCAGCCCGCTGATGAGTTGGAGTGCAATGCGCGCCCCCATCCAAAGTGAATCCAATGATGCCGTACGCTGTTATCATGTTGGTGAGGAACGTCCTTGGCCTTCTGGCGTAGCTTCGTGCCAATCATCAGTAGAGCCTGAAACTTATAGAAAGAATCTGAGATGTCGTCCAGTCTGCCAGGGGTGCCCTTCAGCGTGAAAGGGTTCCAGCCTATTACCGCCAGCGAGGTGACATCTGTCGTGGCGATTCGAGGGCGTGGCGTGTAAGCTGGGAGGGGCGTGGTGGGCGTGGTTACACTCTGCCTCTGAGATCTCCCGCGGGGAGAAGCGTCCGAGGGCCCAAGACTGGGACTGGCGTCCTGCTTCAGCCCGTTATTTGTGGGCGCAGGTATCGCACTGTTGGACGGTCGGGACTCCTGGCCTGGGGGCTCCTGGGCTGGGGCGTTCTGACTATTCGAGCCTTGGCGACGATGCGGACCGTCGTTGGCGCACAGCCGTAATCTATGCTGCAGAGAATTATCCATTCCAGTGGTAGGTAGTGGCTCATCTGCCGCATGTGGATGTTGATCGGCTTCAGGTACTGCGTGCCTATGTAGCTGTTCTGCCGCTGCTCGAAGTTCCTGGGCATTACCTTCAGCTCGCTGTGGGTCGTGTTCGTGATCCCGCGGTTCGCCAGCTGCGTAGGGCACGCTGTACGGTGCGACGCCCATCCATTCGATGTCGCTGTAGTCGTCCAAGCGGGCAAAGTCCTCCGTCGCATCGCTCTCAGTGTTCTCCAGCAGGAGCGTGTGTTCTGCATCAGCAGCTGTCATCCTCGCGGCGGCGCGCGCGGCTCACACGCTGGAGCATCGCCGTGCTGGTGCCGCGCCCGT